TTCTTTTTTATGTGGATGAAATGTTCTATAGATATCTGTTAATCCCAGTTGGGTCATTACTTCTATTAGCCCTTTTGCTTCTTTGTTGAGTTTCTGTTTGGTATTCCTGTCTAGTGGTGAGAGTGGTGTGTTGAAATCTCCCACTAGATGAGATTTAAGTTCTAATAATGTTTTTTTAACGAATGTGGATGCCTTTGTATTTGGGGCATAGATGTTCAGAATAGACACTTCCTCTTGGTGGGTTTCACCTGTGATGAGTATGTAATGACCTCCTTCATCTCTTTTGATTGATTTTATTTTAAAGTCTAGTTTGTTAGATATTAGGATTGCTACACCGGCTTGTTTCTTGGGTCCATTCGATTGAAAAATTTTTTCCCAACCTTTAATTCTCAGGTAATGTCTGTCTTTAAGGGTGAGGTGTGTTTCCTGTATGCAGCATAAGGAAGGGTTCTGTCTTCGAATCCAATCTGCTAGTCTGTGTCTTTTTATGGGTGAGTTAAGGCCATTAATATTGAGGGATATTAATGACCAATGATTGCTCATCCTTCTTCGATTTGCGATGGTTGTTGTTGGTGGAATTATGTGTGGAATTTTACCCCTTTGTTCTTTTGGCTGTTGGTAGAGAGAGATTCTCTAATGCTTATGTTTTTCTGGTTGTAGTTAGCTTCCTTGGGTTGGAGTTTTCCTTCCAAAATTTTCTGTAGGGCTGGGTTAGTGGACACATATTGCTTGAATCTAGTTTTGTCATGGAATATCTTGTTTTCTCCGTCTATAGTGATTGAGAGCTTTGCCGGGTATAGTAGTCTGGGCTGGCATCCGTGGTCTCTTAGTGTAGGTAGAATATCTATCCAGTTTTATAATGGAGATGATTGTTAGAAAAGTTAAAGAGTTCTGCTGGGCGTTGGTGGCACACACCTTTAATCCCAGCACTCGTAAGCCAGAGGCAGGTGGGATCTCTGTGTGTTCAAGACCGGCTTGGTCTACAGAGCATGTTCCAGGACAACCTCCAAAACAATACAGAGAAACACTGTCTCAAAAAAGTTCTACTGAATTTAAAAAGTCTTTATGAAATAGTTATTCTCCATGACCAACTAAGATTGGCTTAGAACAGCCTACTTTATTTAATAAGAACATTGTTTTCCCAGACACAATAATCATACCCTATTTTCTTGAACTGCATTGCCAATAATAGGATTCAGTGTTATTTCCATGCTTACTTAAGTCATAAGCTATCTGAGAAAGACTTCCAGAGGCTTGCTAATCCTATGAAGAACTCTATAAAGAATAATTCCTTTTTCTCAGAACTATACAGGCTTTTCCAGCAGCAAATTAATAAAAGAACTTTCCAGAAGATTAGATGATAAAGCTATAACAACAGACTCTGGGTTTGACCTTAAAAAGTAGGTAAAGGAAGAGACAGTAGGAGAATCCCGGTATAGTTCAACAAACTAGGGTGTAGCTGATTCAATCAATGCTTTCTAACCTTTACAAATATCAAATCTGTTCCAAAATGTCTTTCCTACACTCCAAAATACATAGTCTAGCTTCAACAAAGCTAAATACATAGATGTTTAAAATTTGTATATTCCAAATATAGAAGAGGAGATTTCATTTTGACATTTGAAATCATGGATTAGTCAGGGTTCTTTAAAGGAATAGGAAGGATAAAGTGGCTATACAATTAGCAGGGAACTTATTAAATTGTGTTATTTGAAGGAGTGAATTTTCCTACTTCAAATTATCTAATTGGAAAATTTTTCTTACTCAGCCAGGAATGGTGACACACGCCTTTAATCCCAGCACATGGGAGGCAAAGGTATGTGGATATCTGCAAATTGAAGGCCAGCCTGACCTCTGTAAAAAGTTCCAGTACAACCAGAGCTACATAACAGAGAGACCCTATTTCAATGAGGGGGAGACAGAGACAGACAGAGAGAATTCATTACCGGAGTGTCTAATTGCTTACAGGAAAACAGCCACGAGGGCCAAAACAACACTCAAGGTGTATCCAGTGTGCTAAGGAAAGAGATTATAAGATCAGGCTAACCGGAAACACTCCACCCTAAGGTGGGGCTTCCAGCTCTCTAATATAAAGGCTTTTCAACTGCAAGTTGTGTTCAGTTCAGAGGCACTTGGAGGTGTGCAGAGAACTGAGAAGACAAAGACACAGCATTCCTGAAGCAAAGGACAGACTTTCCTGCAATGTTGATGAGACCAGAGGATTTGGAGATGAATTGAAACCCTGAGTGTATGACTTTATATTTTTTCTAATTCAAAGATTCTCAAATAGTTCTATGGGGCATAGTTAATACACAGGATGTCATTATTATCAGATTCCTCTTAAGCTACAGAGTTTTAGTCTATCATGACTTTAAACTTTAAAATTAATGTGATTTTTCCATCTATTTTATGTTCCTTGTGAACCTAAATTTTGAATGTTTGGAGGTATCATGGCATTCTATTTTTTGCTTGGGATATAAACTTAATGCACAGTATAGAATTCAAAAACATGGTATGTATATAAAGCCTTCTACAGTATGAGAAGCTACAGTCTTGAGTCTCAAATATATTTTGAAGCTTTTTTGGAGGGGATTGGGTTTGGTTTGGTTTGTTTTTTTTGTGACAGGGTTTCTCTGTGAAACAGCCTTGGCTGTCCTGGAACTGGCTTTATAGACCAGGCTGGTCTCAAACTCAGAGAGATTCACCTGCCTCTGCCTCCTGAGTGCTGGAATTATAGGTGTGCACCACCAACACTTGGGTATTTTTAAAGCATTTAAAAAACAATATGTTATTAGTGTATTATGACACATTCATTTAGTAACATTATACGTTTAAGGAACTCCTAGTGGCAGGGTCTCGGCTCATTAATAGCTTACCTAGTACATGTTTTGTTCTCTCCCTATCATTAAGAGAATAATCAAAAAGCTAACTAAAACCACTCAGCTTTTTTATTTAAATTAGAAACAAGCTTGCTTCACATGTCAATCCCAGCTCGGGTCCCCTCACCCCTCCCCTGTGTGCCTACCCATCCCCCCAGCCTCCTACCCAGTCACTACTCCTTTCCCTAGAGAGGGTGTGGCCCTCCGTGGGGGATCTCCAGAATACATCATTTCATTCAGGGAAGGGCCTAAGGCCTCCCCCAAGAGTCCAGGCTGAGAGAGCATCCCTCATTGTGGGATAGGCACCCAAAGTCCATTGGTATGCTAGGGATAAATACTGACTTACTGCCCAAGGCTCCATAGATTGCGGAGGCCTCCTCACTAACACCCAAATTTAGGGGATCTGGATCAGTCCCATGCTGGCCTCTCAGTCTGGGGTCCAAGAGCTCCCCCTTCTTCAGGTCAGCTGTCTCTGTGTGTTTCACCAGCTCAGTCTTAATCCTTTGCTCATCACTCCTCCCTCTCTGCCACTGGGATCCAAGAGCTCAGTCCATGGAAACCACTCAGTTTTATTTGGTTCTACTTGGGAGCTTCAGAAAGGAGGATCCTGAATGGGAAGCAAGCCTGTGCTTGATAATGTTGATTTTGACTCAATTTTAAAAAAGTTGAACTATGATTCAACTAGTCTTATAATCAGTATTCTTTTCAGATAAATTTTAAATGATGGATGGATATATCATTTTTATGTTATCACACTTAAAAATAACTCTCAGTGTTAATCTCAAGTATTTGGAAGTTTACTCTCAAGATGTATCCTTCGAGAGAATTAGCCTCTCCCAAGGATGAGCCAGAACACTTAGCTCTGAAACCATATGTGCACAAAAAAACAACAAACAGCTCAGCAGATTGCGTACAATTTGGCTTATGTAAGGTTGTAAGGTTCAGAGAACATTTTTGATAAAATTATGAGAATATTCAGAGTGATTTGTTGAGCCACATTCCAGAGATAGGACAATCTTGATGTGAGAATAGCAACCCTCATAGAAGTTGCTATGTTTGGAAGTTTAGGTTCCAGATATTTTAAAGAATGCTTATGAGACAGGCAATATCCTTACTGAGGCTTGTGTGTCTGTAGAAAGAGTAGCCAAATAAATGTGCAAATGTGATCATGACAAGCTTTTTTGAAACCAATGGAAGATATTCAACTCTGACTTCCAGTGCAAAGTCCTAGAGAAATTTGTAAATCCATCATTTATTATAGATGCATGTCCAAACCATAAGAATGCCACAGTTGGATGTCTAGGGAGTTCAGTGTCTTGTCTCCTGTTTTCCTCTCATTTGCATGTAAGTGATGAACATCTTGGCTCTATCCAGTGAGCAGCCACACTTAGGGGCTCTGCATTGGGGAAGTCCTTTTCTTTTTTGTCATTCTGTTCTTGTCTTTTTATCCCATTTCCCACCAGGATTTTCCCTCTCTCTCTCTCTCTCTCTCTCTCTCTCTCTCTCTCTCTCTCTCTCTCTCTCTCTCTCTCTCTCTCTCTCTCTCTCTCTGTGTGTGTGTGTGTGCATTTAAGCTTCTTCTGCCTGGTGCTTATTTCACACACACATCCACACACACACACACACACACACACACACACGAGTATCATCACCTTATAGCCCTGGTTGTCCTAGAATTTTATATATACACCAGGCTGCCCCTGAATTTACAGAAACATATCTCCCTGGTTCTGGGGAATAAAGCAGTATATCACCATGGCCCACTTCATTCCCTCGTTTTTCAGGTAAGCTCTGGTCATATTTGGAAAAGGAGGCTGAAGCATATATTACATGTAAGGCAAAAAACCTTGTATTTCAAAAGGATGCATTATCCGTTTACATTGTTAATAGTAAATTAACTGTGTAGGAAACATGTTACAAGTGATACCTGATTTGCTTTTGCAAATCCCAATACTGAAGCTTAGCATTTTTTTTATTTCTCCTCAGAAATATAGATTCACACAAACTGTGGAATTCAGAAACTATCTACTAAGTTGTGTGTGTTTGTCTAAGCAGTTTGAGCTACCTTTGAGGTGTTTGCAAACAGAGATACTATTATTGGGCACAGAACCTATGCTAGTAATGGCATCGTTTGATAAACAACATCACTGGTCCGAAAGAGACATTTTGAAGTTACTGGAATGCATGAAAAATAATATCCCCTCAGACGACTCCCGATCGTTCAAAAAGACCCAGGAAGATCTAGACTGGGACAAAGTGGCTTTTAACCATTTTTCGGGAAAAATGTGCAAAGAAAAGTGGATGCAGATTTCTCATAATTTGAGGAAGTACCGCACACTCTCAGAATTAGTTCTGGAAGCCTCTGAACTTACTAAAGAACCTCGCAAAAGTAAGACAGTGAAGAAACATCCTGACTTCCCCAAAAGACCCCTGACTGCCTATCTGCGCTTTTACAAGGAGCAGCGGGCCAAGTACTGTCAGATGTATCCTAAGTACAACAACCTACAGCTGACCAAAATCCTGGCTGAGAAATACAACAAGCTGCCAGAAGAGATCAAGGAGAAATATATTCAGGCCTTCCAGAAGGAGAAACAAGAATTTAAGGAAAAACTAACTAAATTCAGGGAAAATCACCGTGGTGCAGAGCAATCTAAGGAATCTGTGGTGATCAGGAACCACCAAACCAAAGTCTCTAAGAAAATACAAGGAAACCGGAAAATCGTAAAGTCCCCTCTAAAAAAGGAAACTCACAAAACATTTCCCGCAGTGATGAAATTTCAGGGAGAACCCAAGAAACCCCCTATGAATGGGTACCACAAATTTCACCAAGATTCGTGGTCAAGTCTGGAGCTGAGCCATCTACCCCTTAGGAAGCGCCAGGTTGAAATTAGCAGACTATGGCAGCGAGTCCCAGAGAGCCAGAAAGAGCGTTATGCCCGTCAGGCTGAAGAGCTACAGAAACAATACTGGGTGAAGATGGACCTCTGGCTCAAGGGATTGTCACCAGAGGAGTATGATGCATACAAAGAGGCAAGGGCCACCTGTGGTAAGCGAAAGTACTTTGCCAAGTCTGGAGGTCCAAGCCCCAAATGTCAACCAACGCATCAGGAGTCCAACTCAGCAAAGGAGCTGCAAGTCAGGCCTGTAAAAATGCAAGGACTGCTGGCTCCTAGAGCAGATTCCCCAAAGACTATTCAGGGCCACGATGGTGGCTCCCAGGCATCTGGGCAGAATATGAATACGATGGAAGATGGCAAAGAGGAGGACTCCAGCAGCTCCTCAGATTCTAGCAGTACAGACGAAGGTGGAGATGACTGACTGACTGGCATGGCCTTTAGCGGAATGCTCAGAATTAGACTCCATCTTAGTCACTTTCGTATCCTAAGTTATCGTTTAAAACCCAGAGCATGCCTGACAGACAGAAGGGGACCTGTCTTCTCTGTGCTGATGTATTCCCTTGTTTTCTCCTCCTGAACCCCTCCTTTGCTTACTAAATACAAAGGAGTACAGTCTGGGGAGAAGGGAATTTGCCATAGTATTGCCTTCATCAGGTCCATAGGCTTAGTAAGACCCACTTGAGACAGCACCTAGAAGCTATTTACATTTATTCGAATAAACTATAAAACCAGTTTTATAAAGTTAGGCCCTGTGTATACAAGTGGTACCAGTGAATTCTAGAAAGGGCCTCTTAGGCCTTGCTGTTTCAAACAGTGAATCTCACCTCCAATATTCAGGATAAGGAGAAACACAGATAGATATACTCTGTCCTCTTGCAATACATAATGTTCTTAAAACATTCATCAGCACCACAGTGCTGTAATTATGCTGCTTTGTGGCATTTTAAATAAATGTAATGTTGCTTATCATTTTGCTTCTGAACAGTCTATGCTCTTTTCATGAATATTGTCTTTGTAGAAATTGTTTAAAACCATGGAAATTTATTTGTACATAAATATTTATTTTATTTATTTTGACTCAAACATTAATTGTAAAACTTGTACATATTAATAGAGTACTGGGATATTTTTGTAAATATTTATAATGTATAATATTTAAATCTGGTTAAATATGTGCATCTCTCCAAATATTTGTCAGTTATCTAATGAAAAATTTGCCAAAATAATTTCATTTTACATTTACAGTGCACTATCATTGTAATCTTAGTGAATAACTGTTTATGTATTATTACAAGAAAAAATATTTTGGTGCACTTTTTGTAAAATTTACAATTTTGTACCTCTCTCTGATTTGCTTATGTATGCTTTTAAAGATGTTACATCAAGCCAGGTGGTGGTGGGGCACACTTTAGATTTCATCATTCAGGAGGCAGAGGCAGTCGGATCTCTGAGAGTTTGAGACCGTTGTCTACAAGAGACAGTACCAGGACAGCCTCCAAAGCCACAGAGAAATACTGTCTGGAAAAAAAAAAAAACAAAAAGCTAAAACTTACGGGATTTGCTGCCATGAAACTCTGTTGATACATGAATTTGAATTAAGTTGTAGCATGTTGCCAGATATGGATATTTACTTATACAAATAAACAAATTTAATGAATCATGTTTATTAAAATTCTTATCTTTAATCATGTAGTCATGGAATTTTTTTATTATCATTGATTCTAAAGTTTAAATTTAGACTAGAAACAAGGTTGCTTCACAAGTCAGTTCCAGTTCTCTCTCCGTTTCCCTCCCCTCCTCCTATGCCCTCCCCTCAATCCCCCACAATATCCCCTCATTTCCCCAGGGAGGGTGAGGCCCTCCTTGGGGGTATCCACAGTCTGTCATTTCAGGCAGGGCAGGGCCCAGACCCTCCCCCAAGAGTTCAAGGTAAGCGTGCATCTCACATTGTTGGATGGGAGTCCAAAGTCCATGTGTATACTCGGGATGAATACTGATCTACTGCCCAAGGCTCAATAAATTACCTAGGCCTCCTCACTGACACCCCCATTCAGGGGGTCTTGATCAGTCCCATGCTGGATTCCCAGGCATCAGCCTGGGATTCAAGAGTTAACCTTTGTCAGGTCAGCTGTTTCTGGGGGTTAAACCAGTCCAGTCTTAATCCCTTTGGTCATCAGTCCACCCTCTTTGTTACTGGATTTCCTGAGATCAGCTCAGTGCTTAGCCATGGGAGTCTGCCTCTTCTTCGATAAGCCACTGAATGAAGGTTCTGTTTCCCAGACTCTCTGGCCATGGGATTGTAGGCTGGCACTCCGCAGATCTATGTCTAAAATCCATATATGAGAGAGTACATGCCATTTTTCTCTTTTTGTGACTGGGTTACCTCACTCAGGATAGTTTCTTCTAGTGTCATCCATTTGCCTGCAAATCTCAGGATTCCATTGTTTTTTTTTTTTCTGCTGAAAAGTACTCCATTATGTAAATGTATCACATTTTCTCTATCCACTCTTGGGTTGAGGGGCATCTAGATTGTTTCCAAGTTCTGGCTATTACAAATAATGCTGCTATGTACATAGAGGAACAGACATCCTTGTTGTATGAATGGGTATCTTTTGGATATATGACTAAGAGTAGAGTTGATGGGTCTTTTGGTAGGTTTATTCCCATTTTTCTGAGGAGTCTCCATACTGATTTCCAAAATGGCAGAACCAGTTGCCACTCCCACCAGCAATGGAAGAGTGTTCCCCTTTTACCACATCCTCTCCACAATAAATTGTCGTTGGTGTTTTTCATTTTAGCCATTCTGACAGGAGTGAGATGGTATCTCAGAGTAGTTTTGATTTGCATTTTCCGGATGGCTAAGGATGTTGAGCACTTTCTCAAGTGCCTCTCAGCCATTTTAGACTCCTTTATTGAAAATTCTCTATTCTGTTCTGCAGCCCACTTTTTAATTGGATCCTTTAGTGTTTTGGAGACTTGCTTCTTGAGTTCTTTGTAAATTTTGGAGATCAATCCTCTGTCAGATGTGGGGTTAGTGAATGTTTTTTCCCATTCTGTGGGCTGCCTTTTTGTCTTGCTGACTGTGTCCTTTGCCTTACAGAAGCTTCTCAGTTTCAGGAGGTCCCATTTATCAATTGTTGATCTCACTGTCTGTGCTAGTGGTGTTATGTTCAGGAAGCTGTCTCCTGTACCAATTCGTTCAAGGGTACCACCCACTTTCTCTTCTAAGAGGTTCAGTGAGACTGGATTTATGTTGAGGTCTTTGATCCATTTGGACTTAAGTTTTGTGCATGGCGATAAACATGGATCGATCTGCATTCCTTCTACATGCCAGTCTGCAGTTATGCCAGCACCATTTGTTGAAGATGCTTTCTTTATTCCATTTTGTATTTTTTTATTTTTCAGTTTAAATTTAGATAAGAAACAAGGTTGCTTCACAAGTCAATTCCAGGTCCCTCTCCCTTTCCCTCACCTCCTCCTATGCCCTTCCCCCAACCCTCCCATTATCCCTCATTTCCCCAGGGAGGGTGAAGCCCTCCATGGGGGTGTCCATAGTCTGTCATTTCATATAGGGCAGGGCCTAGACCCTTCCCCAAGAGTTCAAGGTAAGCGTGCATCTCACATTGTTGGATGGGAGTCCAAAGTCCATGTGTATACTCGGGATGAATATTGATCTACTGCCCAAGGATCAATAGATTACCTAGGCCTCCTCACTGACACCCCCATTCAGGGGGTCTTGACAGTCCCATGCTGGATTCCCAGGCATCAGCCTGGGATTCAAGAGTTAACCTTTGTCAGGTCAGCTGTTTCTGGGGGTTAAACCAGCCCAGTCTTAATCCCTTTGATCATCAGTCCTCCATCTCTGTTACTGGCTTTCTTGAGTTCAGCTCAGTAATTAACGGAGGGAGTCTGCCTCTTCTTCAATAAGCCACTGAATGAAGTTTCTGTTTCCCAGAATCTCTGGCCATGAGATTGTAGGCTGGCACTCCCGAGATGTATGTCTAAAATCCATATATGAGAGAGTACATGCCATGTTTCTCTTTTTGTGACTGGGTTACCTCACTCAGGATGGTTTCTTCTAATGTCATCCATTTGACTGTGAATCTCAAGATTCCATTGTTTTTTTCTGCTGAATAGTACTCCATTGTGTAAATGTACCACATTTTCTCTATCCACTCTTCAGTTGAGGGACATCTAGGTTGCTTCCAAGTTCTGGCTATTAGAAATAATGCTGCTATGAACATAGTGGAACAGACATCTTTGTTGTATGAATGGGCATCTTTTGGATATGTGCCTAAGAGTGCAGTTGCTGGGTCTTGTGGTAGGTTTATTCCTATTTTTCTGAGGAATCTCCATACTGATTTCCAAAGTGGCTGAACCAGTTGGCACTCCCACCAGCAATGGAGGAGTGTTCCCCTTTCACCACATCCTCTCCAGCATAAATTGTCATTGGTGTTTTTGATTTTAGCCATTCTGACAGGAGTGAGATGGTATCTCAGAGTAGTTTTGATTTGCATTTCCCGGATGGCTAAGGATGTTGAGCACTTTCTCAAGTGCCTCTCAGCCATTTTAGACTCCTCTATTGAAAACTCTCTATTTAGTTCTGCAGCCCACTTTTTAATTGGGTCCTTTGATGTTTTGGAGACTTACTTCTTGAGTTCTTTGTAAATTTTGGAGATCAACCCTTTGTCAGATGTGGGATTAGTGAATATTTTTCCCATTCTGTGGACTGCCTTTTTGTCTTGCTGACTGTGTCCTTTGCCTTACAGAAGCTTCTCAGTTTCAGGAGGTCCCATTTATGAATTGTTGATCTCACTGTCTGTGCTACTGGTGTTATGTTCAGGAAGCTGTCTCCTGTACCAATTCGTTCAAGGGTACCACCCACTCTCTCTTCTAAGAGGTTCAGTGTGGCTGGCTTTATGTTGAGGTCTTTGATCCATTTGGACTTAAGTTTTGTGCCTGGCGATCTGGATCAAATGGCAGTGTCTTGCTGGATAGTGGCACAGGCATTTAATCCAGGCAGAGGCAGGCAGATCTCTGTAAATTCAAGGGCATACTGCTCTACAGAGTGAGTTCCAGAACAGCCAGGGCTGTTTAAAAGAGAAACAATGTCTCTAAAAACAAAAACAAAACAAACAAAAAGTCGGTGTCTTTCAGACTTAAGATCAGGATCACATGTGTACCCTCCAATTCTGGATTGTAGTTCATTCCAGATGCACTCAAGTTCACAACCAAGAATAGCCATCACAGGTACCTTAAGATTTGCTGTTACAAGCCTGACTGAACTTCAAGTGACCCCATAGCATATTTCACTTATGTGAGTGGGGCAGCAGTTCCTGTGACAACCTGTAACTCATTCAATTGTAGTGTTTTGTTTTCCTGAGCGTCTGTGTCATGCTTGCTGCCATTCTTACTTTCTTTGCTTTGGTTTTGTTTTTTTTTGGAGGGTGGGGGGTTCAAGGCAGGATTTCTCTATGGATTTGGATGCTGTCCTGGAACTGGTTCTTGTAGACCAGTCTGGTCTAGAATTTACAGAGATCTGTCTGCCTCTGCCTCCCCAGTGCTGGGATTAAAGGTATGTGCCACCACAGCCAGACTGCTGCAGATTCTTTTCCTGAGCAGCTACTATGTTTGATGCAAATACCTATACAGCTGTCTTCTGCTTCTGTAAGAACATGTTCAGCAATGTTTACAACTTTGATGGGGAGCTGGTCGATGGTGACTC